CTCCAATTAATATGATCAAAAATCTTTTTCATTAGACACATGATGAGTTTTTTATTGATTTTAAGCATTATTTGTACAACTTTCAAAAACATTGGATTAGATTGGTCAAAGCTATTAACATTAACTATTTTATACCATGAAATGTCACAAATATATCACAAATATTTGACCAGATTTGTCAAAATTATTAATGCTTAACTTTTTCAAGTCATGGAATTTGGCTGTCTTTTCAGTTTTCTCAAAAATATATGTTCTGAAAAAATCTTTTTCATTTGACATTGTCAACTGAAGTGCTTTTCACAGATTTTTATTGATGTTAAGCATGATTTGTACAAATTTCACAAATATTAGATATGCCAACATTATTAACATTTAACTATTTTAAGTTATTGAATTTGGAAGTTTATCAATGTTATTTTCAGCTTCTCAAATATATTGACTGAAAATACCCTTTTTATTAAACACAGTCATCTATTTAGCTTAACTTTATCAAAAGTATTTATGTTTAACTATTTTTAACTGGGAAATTTATCAATTTTTAATATTTAATTTACGCTTTTTTCAAATATATTTTGTCAAATGGTGTGCTAAACCCAATTCCAGAAACTGATTGTAGGGAGGAATCTGCACCTGGTATTGGTAGTAAGGAGAAGTCTGGAATGGGTATATGTTGTTTTCTAGGTCACATTTCTGGACAATTTGTCACCTCTACACAAGCAAACAAATTATCACATTTGATGTTTCTTTGGAGATTGAATGATATATTGAATGATATACATGATATATTGGCGTATTTATTAAAATATTTGTTTTCAATAATTCTCACTCTTCTCATACAAATTGCCAATAAGCTACACTTCTGTTACACACAGTCAACTGATAAGCTTATCACAGATATCTGCAGTTGTTAAATGTCATTTTTTCAAAATTAAAAAGAAATAAAATATAATTGACAAAATTGTTAATATTTAATTGTACCACCAGCCTTAGCGCTGGCGGTACACATGGTTTCGGTCCCGTCCGGATCGTTCCGCCGGCTCCGCCGGCTCCGCCGGCTCCGCCGGACGGCTACCGTTACCGCTTCTCCNCCCTTTTTATTAAACACAGTCATCTATTTAGCTTAACTTTATCAAAAGTATTTATGTTTAACTATTTTTAACTGGGAAATTTATCAATTTTTAATATTTAATTTACGCTTTTTTCAAATATATTTTGTCAAATGGTGTGCTAAACCCAATTCCAGAAACTGATTGTAGGGAGGAATCTGCACCTGGTATTGGTAGTAAGGAGAAGTCTGGAATGGGTATATGTTGTTTTCTAGGTCACATTTCTGGACAATTTGTCACCTCTACACAAGCAAACAAATTATCACATTTGATGTTTCTTTGGAGATTGAATGATATATTGAATGATATACATGATATATTGGCGTATTTATTAAAATATTTGTTTTCAATAATTCTCACTCTTCTCATACAAATTGCCAATAAGCTACACTTCTGTTACACACAGTCAACTGATAAGCTTATCACAGATATCTGCAGTTGTTAAATGTCATTTTTTCAAAATTAAAAAGAAATAAAATATAATNGTTGCGTAACTCAAGGAAAAAGGCCACCCCCGAGACTGCTATAATACCTCCAGTGCCACCTTTGAGAGATCAGTTAGAGGAGGGGACTTCACATCAGCAAGACGATACCGACTCTGACTCTGCCGAATCCGAGACGTCATTAGAGTGGGATAGCTGGACAGATAGAGAACCACAGCTACGCAGACCGGCAGATCATAGCTACAATACCCGTTATAAGAAGAGAGCGGCGTTATGTCCAAGTCCCGAGGCACAACCTTCGTCCAAACAACGGAGAAAGGAAGGGGCTTCAAGCACATCTTAATATGGATGGCTCTGCTGTCATCTGCTAGAATACACACGGACGCCACATCTGAAGTGATACCGATACCAGACGGCGTTTTAGTCACCGGACGGGTAGACATGGCTATCCAAACGACAGAGTGGAACTTACTCGTAACCGTGGATCGCCCTGTCTTCACAGACGACCATTGGGTCCAGTTAGCTAAACTCAAACTGCAAATTCAAAACCTCATCGATTCCCGTACTATCACTAGGAGAAACGCTGACCTGTGGATGGGAAGACTCGACTTCTGCAAAGAGAAATTTCGGACGCTGACAACGCTAAGTATAACGAAATATCACTATGATTCATCCCATCGTTTAGCTTTACGTCCCAAAAGAGGATTGCTGAATTTTGTTGGTGACGCCTTTCACAGTCTTTTTGGCCTATCCACAGACGAAAATTTAGCAGAAGTTACTAAGATTGTTCAGGAGACCAGACATCAAAATAAACTACTTGTTCATAAAGTTAATGATCTCGTATCAGTATTAAACCACACTTATGATTTAATAGATGAAGGGAGACAAAGTATAAACAACATTCAACGATACATTCGAAATTTTGTAACTCACAATTTTCCAGCAGTAGTTTCACAATTAAATATAACACAAGGTAAATTGAACAACTTATATTGCGCTTCTCAAATCGAATTAGCAGTATCGGAATATGAACGTATGGTATCGGCATTTCAAACAGCTATGGAGAAATACTTAAGACAGAAAGCAAGCCTTGAATTGGGTCGTTTAACAGAAGAACTGCTTCCGCCCGACCAACTTCAGGATATCTTGACAACAGCGACAGTGAATGTTACATCTTTGCCAATTCAACCGATCAACTGGTATTACGAGCATGTCGTGGTCAATCCAGCATGGGGAGGTGAGACTTTGATATACAGGGTAAAGTTACCCCTCATTGCACAGCGGGTATACCAGAAATACCGGATTCTTAGCTTCCCCGCACCATACAACACGTCCGGGATAGCAGCAAAGGTAATAATTCCGTTCACCAACGTTGGGATTGATCCTATCACGGGGGACATCTTTCACCCTTCGAACTGCCAAGGGTGGCGACCCATTGTATGCAGGTCAGGACCGATGTTTCGACCTGGTATAGAACTATGCTCCAGGGCCTTGATCACCGGGCAGGTGAAACATAGGCGAGCATGTGAAATAGAATTAACTAGGTATGTACAGTCGCAGGCAGTAGAGTTAGCGTTAGGGGATTACGCGCTTACCACTTCGGGGGAAACAATATATACACGGTGTCCACGGTCACCTGCTGTGTCACATACCCTATGGCCAGGGGTTTACCTGATACATGTAAGTGACGGCTGTTCCGTAACGGCCACCAACTTTACACTACCGGGTTTAAAACAACGGATGGGCAAAGTAAGCGTTAAGGCACTCATGGTAAATGATATAAAACCTTTGCAGGTACAAAATATTATTCCGGCTAGCGTAGCTTTGCACATCATGAAACCTGACGAATTAACACCTTTACAACCAGTTAAACGTATATTGCTATCTCCGATAAGCGATGAACCGAATCCCTTTTCTATATTTTTTGCTAACAAATTTAGGCGACAATTAGTAATTGGAACGACCACTGGCTCCCTCATTGTGATTGGGGTGATTCTGATTGTAATATGTGGGTATCGGCGATGTAATTGGCGGGAAATAATTAAAAAAAGCCATCACGCCAATAAACGGAAATCAGAAATGTCTAGTGGACATAATGAGGAATGTGATAACGCTTTATATGAACCCATGTCAAATGAACTTGAGTTGAGTCATATTTCAGCACCGGACAGCCCTGTTCATCAGCGTACGGTAACAGCCAATAGTACTAACGACTGTGAGACCATCACTTATGTCCCGGTGGAGCTGACAGCAACCTCGGACACACTGACGGTTCACGGACCTGAGGCGCAGGCGCTGACGGCCCAAGAACAACTAGCGTTGAACGAGTCGCTTCCTGCACCTCCGTTGCATATGCTGATGGAACAACACGCGATTTAAGGGTCTGGTTTAAACGTGGGGTTTACCTTTTAAGGTGTATTTGTTTGATATCATGTTATACCATACAGTAATTTGTCAATTAACGGTAAAAGTTTAATTGATGCCATAATCACGAAGCGGATATGCACTATTTGTACATATATCTGCGTATTGAATTAGTATTACTACAATCCAAGGGTATACAAATGTTGGTTACTTTAATACCTTATATTTATATCTATGATTCTATGTTTATTAGGATAGATTTTTAAAGTAGACGTTATTGAAGCATATTTAACATATTATTTTAATTTCTTGTAGTTGAAATGTGAACATTTCAACCGGTGGGTAGTATAGTGGTGTAAAATACCACTTTGGGTATTTTAGAAGTGACGGGGACGTTTAAAATTAAAATAATCTTAAAGTAACGTGGACGTTTAAAAATTAAAATAATCTTAAGATAAACTTAGAAGGGGACAGTCAATAGACATTCAGGAATGATGATAACCGGAGATAAATTCAGGAATGCCTTTGAAGGCTGAGAGGGGTGGGAATGATCCAGGAAACACGGTGACTGAGTGGAGGCAGAGCCGGAGACGAAAGGACTGCGCTCAGTCAAGTGTACGTCTTCCTGGATTATTAAAATTCCTGAATGATCTATAAAGGCTGCCCTCTTCTAAGGTGAGAGCATATCGTGTTTTGGCCTGACGATATCGTTATACCTTTTGAACTGTCAGTTACTATGTAAAAACGAAATCTATGTATATTTTTCAAAAGACCGTATTAAATTTCCACGTGCATCAAAGAGGAATCTTATTCATTTGACTTGATTAGCTGGGCGCACAACAACAAGGCCCAAGAACCGGCGCGTTAACGAACGTTACATTATTTTCTTGTAAAGTCTAACCGACGAAGATTGAGACTTAACAANTTATTCATTTGACTTGATTAGCTGGGCGCACAACAACAAGGCCCAAGAACCGGCGCGTTAACGAACGTTACATTATTTTCTTGTAAAGTCTAACCGACGAAGATTGAGACTTAACAAGGTAACTCATCCTGTCAGATTCTTGGTGGGCTTTATCTTTTTTTCGTATTTTTATATGCGTTTAATATCGATATTTAAACAAGTGATTTCAAACACGGTCGCATATATTCATATATTTAAGAGATCGCTCTCAGGGTATCTTGAAGCATGCGCATGCCCAGGCATTACTTCCGAGGAGGAAAACATGGTTTAGGAAAAACTCTAAAAGGAGCAGTAATATAAGAGCAGAAATAAAAGATTGGGAATATCCCTAATAAAATGGTTCGTCATCCTAAGTCGCTACAGGAAATAAAGTGTTGAGTGCTTTGAGAAATAATTTATTTGTTTCTAAAGGGTATTTCAACCAATAGATTTATAATTTGAAACTCAAGTACTGCGTCTATAGGCAATTTTTTATATTTTCGCAAAACTTTACGCAAAAAAAGTCATTCAGATGCATTATTTTATACTAGTTCGGATAACCGTAATTAAATGCTAGTTTAATATTTGAATAGACAGGAGCCTGGCCTCACATTGCTCTAGGAGGATAAAAACCCCTCGGGTGAGAGAGGTGAATGGGTATTAATTGTTATCAGTAGTTTGGAATGGCTGCTCACTTTGACAGTTTAGCAAACTGGCTCTCTCCTCCGGTTTCATGTATGTCGTTACCGGACCACGTGATCACGTAGCTCATTAACTCCCAGGCCAAGAGAAAGGGCTTTTTTTTTTCAAGCTCAAATTTACAAAATGGGCTTCCTATTTGTGTATTTTAATAAAGATATCATTAGTTGGGCATATTTCCTGAATAATATGCCCCGTTAAAGCCATTCTGACGGCCTGTCGCAAACCCATTAATAAGGGCAAATAAACCAACTCCCGCATCTATTTCTATTTTCTATATATTTTGTCTTTAAAATTTTGAGCCTGAAAATCCACCAGAGGCAACATCAAACAGTTTCATTTCTTGTGATCTTGACACTGGTGTGGAGTAATCCAACGGAATGTGTTCAAATGCTTTTTCATAGTCATAGACGTCAGTGTCGACATTATACGCGCGGTTGTCCGCACCTTGTGCCACATATGGCTGCTTGTAAGCAAGTGTACTGGCGCGTGAGGGACTACTCTTCAAATTGCTTCCGCTACGACTGCTAAACTTTGGCGATTTTTTAGAACTGTTGGAGTCTCTGAACTTGCAGCGTTTATAGTTAAACGTACCTGGAAGCAATAGAAATGAATGCAGAATAATAAGAATAACACGGCAAATGAGTGAGTCATGCCATTTTCATAATCTAACGGTAACTGCATTTTTCAGATTATTCTAGATAAATTTTCAGATTTTTAAAACTCTTTTGGTTCCTTTTCATGGGCATATCTCTTCAACTGAAAGAGAGCAAGCGAAATACCGAGTCTAGTTTGGGAAATTGTACTTGTTTGCACACTACTGACACATATCAGTCACAACAGTCTCTTTACATGAACTAGATTCGCCTCCTTAACATTAAAGAAACAGTGCATCTTACCGTCATCGGAATCCTGAGATTCCTGTACCCCACTGGACCTCTGTGGCGCCGTCTTGCGGGGGTCAAATATGTATTTGTATAGGATTCCCGCCACGATCCCCCCGAGGCAAGGTCCCAACCAATAAATCTGCCGAGAAATATTAGTACATAAGAGAAATATTAGTATATTAGAGAGTATATTAGAGAAAAAAGATAATTGTAGAAATGTGGCTGAATGAATAATGCGGTAGGTGAGACGGTTTTAGATTGCATTGTGTTTTCAGTGATAACGGATAGCATTACTTTAGGTGAGACATGATTCGAGACAGAGGCATATCTTCATTGCATTTTGTGCGATTCATCACGAGGCTTTGAAACAAACACAGCTTGACTCACCCAGTGGTTTTCCCAGTAGTTTGTGATGAAAGAAGGGCCGAGAGATCTCGCGGGATTTATGCCACAGCCAGTGAACTGAACCTATAAGAATGTGAGAGACGTTAAATGGATCTTATATATATATATATATATATATATATATAGAGAGAGAGAGAGAGAGAGAGAGAGAGAGAGAGAGAGAGAGAGAAATCAGAAGGAGAAAACTGCTGAGTAAATATTTCTCCAATAATATCATTTCAGACGAACAAACAGCGCTAGAAATTACCCATACCGTGGCTAAATGCATCATTGTCACAACAGCTCCCATGGCAACACTGGAGCTGAGAGAGTCACTCCTTGATGACTCCGAGGCTGAAAACAGAGTGAACACCAGCAGGAATGACGTCACAATCTCCATCCCGAGGCCCTGCTCCAGAGTGAGGCCAGCGGCCAGCTTGGTTACTCCCATGTGCCCGCGTACAGCAGTCGAGGAGAGCCTTTTGGATAGAATGATAGAAGAAAAATAAAATGTAGCTTGAAAATAAAACTTTAAGTCTCTTTAAGTCGAAAAACTATGCAAAACAAGAATACACATTGTCGGGGACATTTAATAAGTCATAGGCAATGTCAGTAACTTCAAGTAATAACTTATATTGTAAACTGTTATTCTCCATAATACATTATGTTAAGTCTGAAGAGGCAGAGTAAGCCTTATTTACTAGTCTGATTAAGAAGCCATAGGTAAGGAAGCTGATGAAGCCATTGTCTCGGTTAGTACTAAAGTGTGCAATATTCAATATATCGTCAGAATGTACCTGGGCAAGCGACGAGTGAACATTAAATGATTGAAACTGGTTATTGTTGTCAGCGTTGGATTTCCTCATAGCGATCTACACGTAACTATTTTGACTACGAACTTGGAAGGTAATATTTACGCGTTATCCAAATTAAAAGTATTCAACGGTGTCCGTATTCCGAGCCTATTTCTTAATTGGATTCATTGTTAAATTTTGCACGGTTCCGGACAACATGTCGTGTACATCGCTAATTTTGTCTGTGGCTGTATTACAGTTAATACGCATACAGGCACACTGGTTTCATACACGAATTTTTTTTTTCAGTTGACAATGTGTACATGTTGTCAGTCGTTATATTGCAGTCTTCAAAACTAACATAACTGTCCTCAAAAAATGTTTTTACCATAAATTAATAAGCTAATTAAGATAACATGCGGTGCAAATATCGACATTTTGGTCAAATGTTTGTCTTCACCCCTCCTCATGTAAAATTTAAACTTCAAAAAGTCCGTACTAGAGACCTTCTACAGGCCTTCCCAACTACCAGACTCGGCACCTACGGGTCCAGAATAAACCGGTATATCTGACCACACTACCCGTTTTCAAGGTGTGTGTCAGATCGCATAAAAGAGTATCATACCCTATCACAAATTCTATAAGCCTACCTGTCATCCGGGTATCGCGCCTCGTTTTCGTCAAGTAGGAGTCGCATGAATACAACAGACGACCCCCTCAATCAGGGGNGTTCTAGTCATAGAGAAAAGTGACCCACGGTAAATATCTGAAACCGGAAGGGAGTCGCCATTTTTTGTGCGCCTGCCTCGTGTACTATAATACCGAGCAGTGACACCGTTTAATGACAATTTCAATGACCACGTGCCTATTGCGCGAAATACGTTGTATATACGCATCCATTTGTTTTTATTTATTTACTTATTTAATTTTGTGGAGAGCATTTAATTTCGAATAAACGTTTCTTTCGAATAAACGTTGTTAAAAAAATTGCGCGAAATGTGCAATTGCTGCAACTTATACTACGTATATTTGATTGACTTTGGTGCCTTGGGGGAGTAAGGAAGGAAAGATGACCCCCTCCCCTCACACACACATGGCATTAGGTAGCGGACAGGGGTGGACCTACCCTCTACCAGGGCTGCAGTTATTATTGTGACAATTTTTTGCTGAATCGACCAAAAAATGACTGTCTATGTAGAGACATATCTATGAATATCTGTGAAAAATCAATAAGTCGCCCTTGTAGGGGGTAGGGTGGACCTAGGATTTAAGGGGGAGTGGGTTCGTGTGTAGAGAGAGAGAGAGAGAGAGAGAGAGAGAGAGAGAGAGAGGGGGT